GTGAGAAAAAGGGAAGGAAGAGGAAGGAAGAGTGAGGAGACATGAAGGATTAAAGAGGAAGCTATAGTGAGGAGAAGGGAAGGATTAAAGAGGAAGGTAGAGTGAGGAGGAAGGAAGGGAGGGTGTCTTCAAGGAGGTGAGATGATCGGAAGGTGGAAGGGTCAAGAATGAAGAGAGCAAGAGTGGTGTCAGTAACCGAGAGAGACGTATCGAGGCACAGATGGCAAGCGAAGGAGGTGGTTAGGAGGCAATAGTGTCTTCAGGTGTGTTTATACCCGAGTCCTGTCACCAGTCGTCAGCCTCGATACATCCACCAAAAGAAATTAAACGCCTGCCACGACCCGAGACCACGCGGTCATCACATCCTCCCGCTCGTTAACAATCTACGTCCATGTAATAAATTCAGAATTAAAAAAAATGTGTGTAGGACACGTGTGCCGGGTTCCTGTGCTGATTCTGCCCGCCCTCCACCCCCCCGCCTATGCCATCAATGCAGCACTTCGGACGACGCGACAGGAGTTTAAAAAAAAACCCACCTCGCGCCGCCAAAATGTGGTGCCTCCGTCATAGTATGCCTCCCGACGTGCCCGACGACGTGCGGAACCGACTGGTTCTGCGTTCGCTCTACTGAAGTGCATGTCCACGACAGCGCCTGAGAAAGGACAGAGCTTTACCCAACGACAGTAGAAAAACCTATGGAAAATGCTTGCGACCATGTCTCACACGCCTTTTTGCCGCAGTGATAACAAAGGCTGGAGCTGTGGGATTCGTCGGTGTTATCGTCATTCGCACACCGCGACATGACACAGCACTCGTACCTGCGCAGTGTTGACATCAGGCGTGTCAAATGGCGTGACCCTAAAAAACCAAGGTCACGACCCCTCCTTTAAGCTATCCTTAACAATAGGCCCATGAGTGTCAGATATGCCACGCCTGAATGCTCTCGGACCGCGGGGCACACCGCGGGAACCGCATGTCGACGTGCGAGATTCGATTGAAACATGTTGCTGATGCCATCCCACTACGGAGTGCAAAACAACGTCGGGAAAAACGATGTCGGCAGAATGAAGCTCCCCCGGCCCGACCATAGCGCACAAATCACGACCAACTTGCCCAGTCGACAAGAGTATCTATTGGACGATCGTGTGGACGCTAAGAGGGATCTTTTGCGCATGGTTTTGTCTTTTTCGTGTACGGGCTTCGGTCTTTGCGTTACGTTCCAACCGTCGCGCAAAGTACAGGAGCCACATATTAAACGCTCCTTAGAAGCCTTAAAAGTGTGACCGGCCTATGAAGTCAGCATTATACACGAGACTTTTAATATTCTTACCTATTACTCTATGTACTTGCGGTGTCCTTGTGGTGTTCCTCTATTGAAAAACACGCCTGGCTCGGATGGCGACTTTGCTACAGCGTTTCACGGCCATACTCCGAGTACCGAGTAATTCTTTATTTCTTGATTCTTAATAACAAAACACTGCGGTTGGGGGAACCCCCCGCCACCCTACCAGGCTACTGTGCGTGATTAATTCTGCGACACTGGGAGGGAGCGTGGTGGCATGATTGATCTATCAATTCAATGGATAGTAGGCCCTACCCCCTGGTCATATTTTATTACGTAGACACACTGCTATTTACCCTGTGTTCGATACCAACACAACCCCCCGCAACGCCTGGGAACGGGAGAATATTCACTGCCATAAATGCAGACTGGAGTGGAAGACTGTTGCTTGTACGGTGGACGTACCGTCACCTTTTTTGATGGACTAATTTTGTTGGTGCTCCTCCCTCCCTTCCCGTGTCTTCCTCCCTCCCACAGTGAAACATTCATTGACAGATCATGGCCAACCGCCCTCCCGGCCGCGCCCCTGGTGACACACACCGTTCAACTCCCGACCCGGAAAACAGTGTGGAGTTCTGTGTGAAGGTGAGGCGTCGAAGGGTCCTAGAGGAAGCCTGGCGTGGAAGGGGGATGGATTTTCCACAAGCCTCAGCGCGTTGTCGTTCTGATACCCCCCTTCACACGACTTTCATAAAATCTCGTAAAAAGGCAATCCAGGCATTCTAACAATGTGAACGAAAACTTTGGCTTGCTGTGCGGGTCGATGCGTGTCTTCCTAGTGCCTTTTTGGATCTTGTATCAGGCCTCACCTTCCCTCCCTCCCTCCCTCCCTTTCTCCCTCCCTC